CAAGCCTGTATGGGGCTGCTGGAGACACCCTGGGTGGCAGTGGGTGCCCAGGATGCATAGTCAGCCGTGGAAGTGGGGGCTTCAGAGCTCCCATTGCCCTGCTGCTGTGTCTGCAGAGCAAGCTCCATGCACTGGATGTGCTGGCCATGGCACCGAGGCATGGAGGAACCATGGGTGGCTGGAGCAAGCAGCCTGGCAATCTGTGCCTCCTCCTGCTGGACAACCAACGGTGAGGCTCTGCTCTTGCTATTAAGAGTTTGCAGCATTCCCCCAGAGCTGCTCCATGGGGAGGAAACTGCTCTGGATGATGCAGACCCGGTGCCCACGTGGTTGGTGAAGAACCTGCCTCAGCTCAGCTTCCTGTGTAAGCCTTTCTCCTCCATTTGGCTGTGAAGATGATGGATAACATGTTCCTCGAGGCAGATGGAAGTGGGAGGTCTGTCTTCTGCTTCTGTGGGAGCTACTTGGACACTGGTTCCATTTCAGCTTCAGGATGCTGCTGCTCTGCTAAAGTGGGAATGATTTGTGGGTACAGGTTTCTGTCACAGCTACTGATGGGATGTCTAGGGGAGAAGACATGGACAAAATGACCCAGGGAGATGGCAGCAAATGGCAGAGAGAGCATGAGGGGTCACAGGTTAAACTGGTTGATGAGGTACTTGTAGCCAGGCAGGGGCAGGACAGCCACCACAGGGGCTCAGCTGATGAGGAATGCATCCAGGCTGGGGTGGGACCTGCAAGAGGCTTTGAGCTCTGCCTGTGCCCAGGGTTAGCCGAATGGCAGAGACCAAGGGAGGTGGGACAGCAGAGAGTTTGGTCCCTGCTGTAGCCAAAAACATGGCCTGTGGCATTTCCTGGCTGGTGGGTATTTCACTGAGAAACACAGACAGTGGACAGCTCTGCACCGAGAAACTGGGGCAAGTGGAGAAGGGGAACCCAAGCCCCTGTGATGGTTAATCCATCTGCCACAGAGCCCCGCAGAGCGGAGGGCCAGGGCTGCCTAGGCTATGGTAATACCTCAATACCACTGAGAGCTGAGGATGGTTACCCTGTTCTGTGTCTCCTGCCTGTCTCATGGTCCTGTGCCACCCCTGAGGACCGAGCTCCTTGGGGTCAGCGGGGCAGCACCAAGCTGTGGCCTGGGGCAGTTGTGAGGAGCCTGCCCCAGGGAGTGAGTGCCCCCAGGGCTGGACTGCATGCTGCTACCTCATCAGAAGTCCTGCATTAGCGTGTAATCTGGCATTAGCGCATTAATCCAGTCCTCCCCACTGCCCAGCCCTTGCCCTCAGCACAGTCCGGCCCAAGGTCTCAGGGTACAGTGGAGCAGGCACAGAACCAGGACATTGTCTCTCTGGCAGCCTTGCCTGGGTGCCAGGGAGCAGGTGGCAGGAAGGGCAAGGTTTGGGGCTCCATTCAGAGCAGCCCTGTGTCTGGGGAGAGCAGCAAAGAGGGAAGAAACCCAACATGGACAAAGTTTCCCCCAGGTAAATCCATGACCTGGGGGGTTGAAGGTGACAGTATGGCCCCAGCCTCAAGCACGTTGGCAAGGGAGAATGCAGCATCTCTTGGAAGCATCACAGTGGCCCTTTGGAGGGGCTTCACGGGGGGTTCTGGAGCCTGACCGCCAGCACCTGCAGGCTGCAGCTGGGCCACACTAAGTCACAAAGCGCTTTGCAGGGAGCCAGGCCAAGGGAAGGTGGCGTCTGGAGAGAGGATGTGAGTCAGCAGCTTGGAGAGGGGGGGACGAGTCAAAGAGCTAGCGAGGTGGGGATGGGGAGAGGAGGAAAGAGGTGGGAACTGGGAGAGCTGGGGAGGGAGCAGGAGTGGGCAGGGAGGCAGCCCGCATCCTCTGGCAGACGTGACCCGGCTGTGGTGTGAAGGCTTTTCAGTGTGAGAAATGAAGCAAGTGGTAACATGGCTCTGCTAAAATAGGAGAGGGGCTATGCCAGCCCCCTCTGATCCCTTACTGTGGGGGTGGGAGGCTTTGGGAGGGTTGGAGGGGTCCCTCCACCATCCTGACAAGAAGCTGGAGCCAGGGCAGGGCTCAGTCCTGCTCTTTTGCTGGCTAGGCAAAGCCAGAAACAAAGATACATGTTTTGTTTTTAAGCAGGGAAAAAAAAAAAACCCTTCTGCCTTTAATCACAAGGCAGCAGAAGGAGCTGCCGAACCAGGTGTCCTGCTCCCTGGCTCTTCCCAGCGCAGGCTGAGGCCCTTTGGGACTGCGTTCACCCATCACACGTCGGGCACCTGAGGACTCCCCGCAGGTAGGTCTGGAGCCTATGGGTGCCCCAGGACCATGCACCCTGCTGCCAGCCGCCCCAGACATCCTCCTTACCCCGGACAGGCTCCTCACCCAGCTCCGCACCCCGCTGCCAGGGGTGGTGCTCCCCCGCCAGCCCCCCGCCGAGGGCACCCCCGGTGCTGCTGCGCCAGGAGCCGCGCCGGGCCCGGCCCCGCTCGCCCATTGGCAGGATTTTGCTGCAGTCTGCTCCGAGCCGGCGGTTTTGGTGACTGAAGCGAGCGGCGCTGCCGGCGGGCTGGGTCAGACGGGGCTCCGGGGAGGGGGCGGTTGATGCTCTGTCTCCTCCCCTCCGGTGAGCACAACATGGGGGTGAGAGGAGGGGCTTCTCCAAATGGGATCTAAGGATAGAGCATCCCGAGTTGCCATGGTGACACCGGCTGCATCCTCAGGCAGGCGAGAGCATCGCTAGTGCAGTCCTGCATGGGGGTCCCAACCTTCCCTCCCGGCTGCGTCCCTCGGGAGTGCAGGGCTTGGATCCTGGCTTTTGGGGTGGCACTCTGGGGACAGAGCAGGGGGACTGTGCCAGGGGAGCTCAGAGCAGAGTGAAGCAAGCTCTCAGCTGCAGCCTGTTGCATTGGAGGTGTGCGGTGGACCTCCCTCTCCCAAAAAGGTAACTCTCCACTTTTCCCAGCATGTTCACTCTCTGATCCAGCAGGAACCTGGTTTACAGGGCTAGGAATGAGGAGGGAACTGGGGTCAGCTTTGCCTCCCTGGTGCAGGCACTGGCAGAGGATGAGGACTGGGATGGCAGGAGGAGACCTATCAGTGACCCACATCCTTTAATCTGAGTCCTGCCTTGCGTCATGCACTTACCTAAGCCCCAAAGCGGGCTCCTCTGACAGAAGCATGGCCCTGAGTCTGCAGGATCCAGTTGTGGCCAGCTCCCCCATTTTGCCCTCGCAAGGCCAAGCTTTGGGGTGTCTCCAGCCTGAGTGCTTGTTTCATGGGGGTAATGACTCCTTTTCCCTGCACTTTACCTCTTGCTGTCCTTGGGGATCAGCCTGTGGAATGCTCAGGGGCCTTGGGGGGAGGGACCCACCCAGTCCCTGCAGCTCCTTTCCCATACGTGGGCTCCCTGCTGGCAGCATCACTTCCTCCACCCCACAGCCTGAGCCCTCCCCAGAGGGGATATTCACATCAGATCACCTTCCCTTAAGCTGATTAGGGCAGTGAGGCTGTGTCTGAGCAGATGCCGCTAAGGCCCTAAGAGTGGCCAGACCCTGGGGGACGCAGAGGGGCCAGCACAGATGCCACAGATCTGAGGGTTGCTCTTACCTGTGTGGTGTAGGGAGAGGGCGTGGGGGGACTGACCACTCTATAAGCTGAATGGCACCCCCCTATAGAGCGATTTGATCCCTGCCATAAGCCTGACTCCTAGCCCTGGCCCCCTGGACATCTGATGGGATGGGGTGAGGAGCACAGTCCCAAGGCAGGGAAAACAGAGGGCAGCCCCTGAGCCCACACCAGCCACCACCAGTATCAGTGGATCTGTGGGCACATTTCTGAAGCCGGGAAAGCACCGCTTTCCTGCTCACCCCTGTATCAATGTCACACTTGAGCCTGGCTTCATGGCTTGGGACTTCCCTTCTCCTGGCACAGTGCATTCCAGCAGGGACACCCGCTGCAGGATCAGGCTTTGCTGGGCCCATTGCATTGCCCCAGCTGGTTGCACGGGCTCTGTGGGTCACCAGAGATCTGGCTTCTGGCATCCTAACTTCCCCTGGATGATGACAGGGTAGCAGACATCCTACCAGGCCAACTACATCTCTTCCTCCAGCTTCCACATCCGCTAACCAGCCTGGGAACAGGGCATGTGGCTTCCCTGAAAGGGTGTCTCAAGCAGCCCAGAGGTTTCCAACTCTGCCCTGGTTCTTGGAGGCTGTAAGAGCCAGAGCTGATGCCTGGAGAAAAGGTAATGCAGCAGGGTGGGCACATCCTCCCCACCCCAGCCCTGAAGGTGCTCTGGCTTGGATGAGAGGGGATTTGCTGGGTGGTTTCCCCTCTCACCATCCCTAAAGACACAAGAGGGCACAGGTCACAGCACCTTTCTATTTATTGAACACCAATCCCTCCCCCCAGCCAGCGCAGAGCCCTGCATGCCCAGCTCTTCCGCACCCATTGGGCTAAAGTCGTGCTCTGGAGAATGGGGGCACCTCCTCAGACCCCAGGGAAGAGGTGCAGGGCTGCCCCTCAGTGCCCAGGGATCCCAGCCCTGTTGTCCCTTCTCCTGCTCCACCTCCTACCCAGCTTTGTCCCTGGAGATGTCCCCACCTGGAAAGTGTCCAACTAAGCCCCGCATATGAGGGTCTGAAGACAGTAAAACTGGATCCTTAAACTTGGAAGTGACCAGCAGGACATAGGCTTCTGTGTAGGGTGTTGGAGACTGTCCTGCTTGTGACATGGTCCTCAGGCGCTGGGGAGAAGGGAGGGCTGCAGGGGTGCTGCCTCTGGGCTATTGCCTTGCCCTGAGGGGCTGGCTGTGCCCCCCACACCTGCCCCTGGCTCCTCCAACCCCTGGGCAGGACTCAACCCATGAAGGGCATCTCCTCTCCATATGAAGGCTTCTCCTGAGGTCTGGAGGAAGCCACCACTGGCAGGAGGTGTAGTAGAAATGGAAGAAAGGAAAGCTTTGGAGGCTAAGGTGGGGGACCAAGGAGGGGGGGGGGGGGTCCCTTTCCCTACCCCGCCCCAGTGGAACATGCACCCATAGATGCTGATGCCCTCAGGACCCAGCTCCTCTCCGCAGGGAGAGGGGAACAGGCTGAGGGCAGAGCATGGGGTGGGCAGCATGTTGCAACGGAAAGGTGGGGGGAGCATGAACCCTGCCAGGAGGTGAGCCCTTGGTTTTTCCTTCCATTCGCACCCTGCTTTAGGTATCCATGTGCATTCCCAGGGTGATGGATCCCTCCTCATCCTAAATTGAGATGACTTCTCTCCTCCAGCTACCCACCTCAGGGAACCAACCCACCTACCCTGCAAGCACCCCTCACACATCACACCACTCTCCAAAGCTAAAAAGGGGCAGCTGAGAGCAGGGCATGATCCCACCCCCCATTCCTCCCTGCAGAGCTCCACAGCCCCACGCTGCCAGGGACATGCACCTGGCACAGCTGAGCCTCTAATGGTAGTGGTTGTTCATGTTGTTGAGGTGGGAGGCTGCCATGGTGCTGAATGGGGCAGAGGGCTGCAGCCCATGCCCAGGGTAGAGGGATGGGCTGGAGCCAGGCCAATAGGAGAAGCCAGCTGGTGTCACCCCCGAGGTCATGAGATTGAGTTTGGAGATGCCCGAGAAGGGCAGTGGGGCCAGGTTTCCCTGGAATTTGTAGAGGGTGTGATCGGGAGCAGTCGGCTGGCACACCTGAGCCAGCCCATGGAAGTCGAACTTGTAGGCGTAGCGTTTGCCATGGACCTTGGTCATGATGTTCTTGTCGTAGTAGTAGCGCAGCGCCCGGCTCAGCTTGTCGTAGTTCATGTTGGGTTTGCTCTTCCGCTCGCCCCAGCGCCGCGCCACCTCGTCGGGGTCGATCAGCTTGAACTCCCCATTCGTGCCTTCCCAGGCGATGCAGTTCAGGTTGGCCCGGTCCGAGAGCAGCTCCAGCAGGAACTGCCACAGCTGGATCTGCCCGCTGCCTGCAAGGCCAGGCCCCAGAGAGGTTAAAGCTCCCTCTCAGGGCAGAAAGAACTGGGCAAGATATGCCCCAGTCTCCTTGACCCCCTGATATTTTGCCACTTCCCAGACCCAGGTTACATTTTCCCTGCTCTAGAGACACAGAAGATGGTAGCGAGGTTGTGTCTCCCTTGCAGCATCCCTTCCTGCGCCCCAAGCAAAAGGAGGAGAAGATGCTTGTGCACCTCAAGACAGGGGTAGGATGCTCAGACCTCAATGCAGGCTTCAGTGGGTTTGGATCCAGGGTCCCCACATCCCTCCCACCCTGATTCACACCCTGCTGAGGATGAACACCTGCTCATTTGCTTTGGTGTGAGGATCTGGCTTGGTTCTTTCATCTGCAGCCCCAGGAAGGACGTATCTTAGCAGTGCCCTGGTCTATCCCAGAACAAATGTTTTGCCACCTCTGCTTGAAACTGAGCTGGTGTCACAGCACAGCCCCTTCCCATCTCTAAGGGGTACAGTGCCCTACAGGGATGTCCCCACAGTAAGCTGAAGTCAGAGTGCAACACTGCTCTCACCTGCACCCTTGACAGACATAGGCGGGTACAGGGAAAGGAGAGACCAGAATAGGACAGGACCTGCTGCAGCTTTGAATCTGGCATCACTGCTCCTTATTTCCAGAGGAAAACTGCCCTTTCTGAGCCATGGCCGTTGCATCCACAGCTTACACTGAGGAGCACCCTTTCTGAGTGCCTGAGATGCTCCTGTACCAGCCTGTGCATACACAAAGCTAGGCACACCTGGACATGCCCATGGCGAGGCACAAGAACAGGATTTGCTGGGTCTGGCCAGAAAACATGAGAGAGGGTCCCTGGAGCTTACGGTGATGATCAGTCCCACCTCTGGGACCCAGCTACCCCGCAGATCAGCTCTGCACTTACCTAGACCCCCTTCTATCCTCCCCTCAAACAGCACCCCCTGTACATCCCTGCCTCTGATTCTGGCCCTTGTAGCACAGTGATATCCGTGCCCCTATTCTGCCCCTATTTTGTCTAAAGGTGCTTGGGTCCCATATAGAGTTTTAGCACTCACAACTGCTGCAGCAGGCAGTTGCACCGCTCAGCAACACTTCCCACTAAGAACCACCTTGTCCTGCTCGTTCCATACCCACCTATTTTATCTGGAACCCCCCCAATTCTTGTTCCAGAATAAGAAGGGAACAGCCATTCCCCATCCATCCCCATTCCGCCAAACCCCACCTAGACATCCTGATCCAAGCAGGTGAGTCCAGGTCTTTCCAAAGTATTATACTTCCAAATTCACCAACCTGAGACCAAGGTGGGAATCCCTCCTCCCTCGGGTACATCCTCAGTCCTCACCCTGGGCTTCTGCTATCTTCCACCCATGCAAGGAGGGCAGGAGAGTGTTGGGGTGCAGCTGGATGGGGTGGCAAGGCTCAATCCTGCCTGCCGCAGGGTGCTATGCTGCAGCACCAGGCAGTTCCCTAAAGAAAGCTCCAGGGATCCAGAAAGGTCCTTCTTGCCGCAGTGCGCGGAGTATGGCCGGGGCAGAGTCCGCAGTGCAGATGCAAAAGGGTCCCCCCTCCTACTCCAAAACCAGGGCTCCCCTTTTCCTGCTCAGAGCACCCTCTGGCCCCTGTCTCCTTGCCAGACAGGCAAGCTACACGTCCCAAATACCACAGTGGCCGATGGCCAGTGCTGCTGCATTCACAGCTGGCTCCGGGCTGCATCCCGGCTAGCCCTCGGCTGATCTCCGGGGCCCCTGCATGGTTTTCCCTGGACGCACGGCTCCAACTCCTGAGGATCCATCCTGTCCCAGCCGAGACAAGCTGTGCCCTGCCTGAGTCCCAGCCCCTCACCGGCAGCTCCTTCCCGGGTAGTATCTCACCTATCATAGAGTCAGCTAGGCTGGAAAAGACCTTTAAGATCATCAAGTCCAACCTTTACCCCAGGATTGCCAAATCCACCGCTAAACCATGTCACTAAATCCCCCCTCATGTCACCTCATTCCCCCTCTCCCAGGATCGTGTCACCCGAGCCCGGATTAACCCGCCCGGCTCCCGGGCTGGTTGGCAGCTCCCTCCCCATCTGATATCCCTGGAGCACCTGGGGGACTCTGTCTGGGACCCCGCACCTGCCCTGCTGCAGGGTTCCGCGGGCGCTGGGCACCTTGCTCCGCTCTGCTGCAACGGGACGGCTGGTCCTGCCCGTCGGGGCTCTCCCCGGTGGTTTAAGCGGCGGGGTGCCCGTGGCCCGAGCCGCCCGCAGCAGCAGGGAGCGGGACACAGGGGCGGGAAGGGGGCCCCGATGGCTGTGGGGCGGGATGGATGCTTGTGCTCCGGGGAGTGCCCGCTCCGGGCGGGCCGGCAGAAGAGGCAGCGGGGCTCTTACCTTTCTGCACGCCGGGGCTGAGAGACCCCCACGCCTGGCTCTTCCCGTCTTTGAACAAAGTTTCCCCGACTGGATCTGGGGGGGAAAAAGGGGCGCGGGTGGGGGTGGAGGGGGGGGCTGGAGCCAGGCGGGACCGCGAACCCCGGCTGCTACCCGCGGGCAGGCTCCCCGCATCCCCCGGCCGCTCCCCCTCTCCTGCCCCGCCGCCGCAGCGAAGCCAGGAAACGCGTCCAGGAAAAAGGAAATCCGATTTCCGACCGAGCCGGGGAAGCTTTTAAATAGGAATAGAAAACCCCACGGACTGGGGCAGGGAGAAGAAAAGGAGAGAGGGAGAGAGCTACGGGGGCACAGGGAGAGGAGGCGGGTGGGGTGGAAGGATGGGTGGCAATAGCAGCAGATGGTAGGAAGAACCAGTGTTGGTGTTTGGAGAGTGGACGGCTTGGAAAAGGAGAGATAGATGGATAGGTGAATGAAAGGAAGGAGAGATGGGTGGATGGACGGGTGGAAGGACAGAAGGGAGGTGGGTACATGGAGGGAAGGATTAGAAGGAGGGCAGGAAAGATGAGAGGCAGACAGATTGAAGGAAGGGCAGGTAATGGGCAAGACCGTGGATGAACGGGCTGGTGGAAGCGACAGAGGGTAGATGGAGGGAATGGTAGGTAGCGGAGATAGAGGGACAGGTGTGGGGGGGAAGCGTGGGTGGAAGCACAGGGAAAGGGTGGGTATGTGAAAAGATGGGTTGGAAGGACAAAAGGGTGGATGGAGGGATGGAAGGACAGGGAGACGTTGAGTGGGTGAAGGATGGAATGGAAGATGGGTGTGCGGGCATGGAAGGCTCTGAGAGCAGCTGGAAGGAAGGAAGGAAGGAAGAAGGGATGGTTGTGGGTCTGGGAGCCAGGAAAGGAGGACGGACAGAGAGAGAGGGAAAGGCAGGGTGGGCGCTGAGGGAGACGGGCAGAGGAGAGCCCCGGGGCAGCGGCGGGGCCGGGTGCTGTGCGGTGCACGGCGCTGCAGCGGGGCCGGGGGGGGTCCGCCCGTACCTGGCAGGTACATGTTGAGCAGCAGTGGCACCGCTCCGGCGCCGTGTCTCATGGCAGCTGTGGGGGCGGCCCGCGGGCTGCATGTTTTAATATTCCTGCCCCTATTATTATTATTATTATTCCACTTTATCAGGGAGCAGCTGATGGCGAATAAATGGCAGCGGGACAGGCAGGGGACGGGCAGGGGCCGGGGGAGGCGGGGGGGGGGGGGAGTTTCCAGGCAACGCGCCGGGGCTCGGGGCCCCGGCTCCAGCAATTTCCTCCGCTGTAATTAAAGCGGGCGCGGGGGGGCCCCCCCCCCCCAACCTCCCCCCCCTCTATCGGGCCCGCATCAGACTTTAATCACGGCCGCGGGTTTCTATGGAGAGCGGCTCGGGCCGCTTCCTGCATCTTCCGCCTCCTTAACTCTTCGCAAACACGGCTCTGCCATCCCAGCTGGGAGCGGAGCTCGGACACTGCCTGGAGACTGCCCGGGCCTGGACTCCCACCAGCATCCCGCCCTCCAGTCCACAAGGCCGGCCGGCGGGAACGGTGGTCCCCACACTGCCCTTCACATCTCACTGCTCAGCACTGGCATCATCCTGCTTGCCTCCATCCCTCCAAGCCACCCATGCTGCCTGCCACAGGGCTCTGTGCCTGCCCCTTCTCCAGCCCTGGGGTCCTCAGTACAGCCCTGGGGTCCCCTTGCAGGTCCCAGAGCCCTGGGGTGGATCAGTTGGGTCCCCACCATGTCCCTCCATCTCCGAGACACTGGGGATGGGATTCTTTTTCAGTGCCCAGAGGTCCAGTGTGGGTTAAATGCATCTCCAGGGGTTGGTGGCACCAGATCTAGCACCTCCTTGGCTTCTCCATGCTCTTTTGGACAGCCTCTGCCATTGTGGGGTGCACAGCCCTGTCCCGATCTCTTGCCCATCTTTATTAGGACTTGTAGAAACTGGGTGACTCTCCACACCCACCCAAACCTTCATGGCTCCATCTCCACCAGCTTGTCCTGGGCAGCACTGGGTGTTGTGAAGATGGGAGGACAATTCGGGGAGAAACTTGTAACAGGGAAAGAGTCTAGAGTGATCTTGGCTCCCAAAAGATGCATCTGGCCAGGTTTTGCCCCACCACACATGGCTCCAGCTGCAACACCAGCTGCAGGGTCCCAGTGGAGCTTCTGCACCCCCAGCCAAGACCCTCTGCCAGCACCTCACAACTTGAGGCAGCCAGGCAGCTTGCCAGCAGTGGGCACCAGCTTTGCACCATGAGTCCAGTGCAGTACAGCCAAGCCACCCATCAGCCCATGAGCTCTCCTGCAGTGTTTCATAGATGTCTAGTAAAAGGATGAGCACTCATGATGTACTTAACTGAGATGAATTTCTTGGAAGTGGTCATCTTGAGACATGAATCCAATGGAAACCAGGATATGGCCATGTCAGACCCACAGTTATCATTTATACTGAAGCCAAAATGTGCCTTGTGTATGAAGAAGCCGCATCCCATGGGGAGCAATACTCAGACAGGGTGACACAGTCCAACAAAGCTGGTGGCTCCTCCTTGGTGGGGGTGTCCAAAGGGTTTAGGAAACAGGGTGCCCCATGGGTGCTAAGACGGGCTCCTGGTGCTCCACCCCTTCTGCTCATCCTCATGGGGAGCAGAGAGCAGATGCTGGCGAGGGGATGCATCAGCAGAGCCCGTGGTAACCCCCCACCAGTTCCCCACCAACCCCGTTTGTGTGTAATAGCCCTAAAAAGTGTTTCTTCTCCCAGCTTGTGCCCTGGGCTCCCCTGACCCCTGCAGAGGGTGTTCCAGCTCTGCACAGCCCAGCAGCCCTGGCTGCTCCCCCCATCCCTCTCCTCCCCAGCCCCCCGAGTGCAGCTCTGCCCCCAGCAGTGGCTCCGCAGCCTCCCAGACTTGCTTTCGCTGCCTGAGTCACTGCAACAAAACGCAGGCAACGGAAAACAAGCCCCAGAGACAGCGGCGGGAGGTGGGGAGGGGGCCAGACCCACCGAGCCCCTCTCTCCTGGCAGCCCCAGTGACCAGGATCTTCCTCCAGCAAACCTGCATGGCAGAGGGCAGGGAAGGGGGAGTCTGGGCTGTGGGACACCACATCATCCCAGAGCTGGGGAAGCAGTTTGGGAGCAGCCTGAGAAGCAGGAGCTGGAGGTGGGGAGGGAGGCTGTGGGGAGCACTGGGGATGGGGACTCCTGGTTCCCTGGGAGAGCCAGAGGAGAGGGGTTACAGTGGGGTGTGAGAGGACTGGGGGTGTAGAGGAGCAAGGAGTGTGGGGTCCCAGGGGCTGGGGAGCCCTGAGCAACATGACCCCAGGTTCATGAGGGAGCTGGGACACAGGGGAGCTGGAGCAGACCCATCGGGGGGGTGGGGGGGTGGGGGGTGTGATTCCAGATACACGAGGAATCCAAGGACCCAGGCCACCATGGGGAACCCAGGAGACAGAGCTCTGGGTCATGGGAGATCTGGGAGATGTGGGTTCAGGTCTGTGGAGCTCCAGGGGACAGAGCCCAGACACGTGGAGCACCCAGGGGGCAGCAGCAGCAGGTCCCTCTGGCTGCAAGCAGGCAGTTTGCCCCCACCCCAACCCAGCACTCTCCCCTACCCCGGGATGGAGAATTAAGGACCCCACATTTTGCTGTGACCCCCGCAGCTCCCTCCCCTATGCTCAGGTGCCCAGGAAGACTTCACCTGCATGCGGGTGTCGTGGAGCAGAGCAGAGCAGAGCAGCGCAGAGCTGACGTGGCCTTGTGCGGGCTGCAGCCTGGCCGGGTGTGCAGGAATGTGTTTGTGCAGGGGGAGAGGCCGCTACCGTGGGGCCTGGCGGGGTGGGGCCAGCAGGGACACGGGGGGGACAGGGGAGGGATGGGGGGCACCCTGCAGTGGGGACACACAGAGAGCGGTGGGCTTTGTATGGCGCGCACTGGGGGGGCAGGGGAGAGGGAGCAGGGATGTGCATGGGCACGCTTGTGGGAAACCTCATGTGTGCAGTGCACATGCTTACACACACATGCACACAAACACAGGACAGAGCTGGTGCCTCTGTGCTGCCCTGGGTGCAGGCTGTGCACACATTGACCCCCAGCCCTGTCCTTCCCAGTCTCCAGCACCCTTCTAGGGCCACCACAGCTCCAAAGCCAACTGTGCTTGCAGCAAGGTGGACATCAGGGGTCCAAGCCACCCACCACTGTTCCACTGTCCTGAGGGTTTAGAGAGGATGTCCTGGGTGCTGGGAGCACCTTGAGAGCAGAGGCCTGCGCCCCAGGAGGGCTCTGGGGTGGGAGAAGAGGAGGAGGCAGGGAAAGGGTGCTGGAGGAGGAGAAGGAGGCTGGGTGGGACTCCCGGCGTGCCCGGGCGGAGCCGGAGCCGGATGCTGGCACGGATGTGCCTGCATGGCCAGGCTGGGCGGGAGGGACCCTGACCATAAGGGTGCTGGGAGCCCCCTGCCTGCTGCTGGACACTGCCTCTGTTCCCCGCACCTGCACACAACCCCTGTACGTCCCCCCACTCCTGACCCAACTGTGGCCATCACGTTTGTGGCAGCTGCCTCCCCCCCAGGTAACCCCAATGCTTCTCCTGCCCCCCCCCCACGCCCACAGCAGGGAGAGACCCCCCACTCTTCCAAACCGGGGTGCAGAGAGAGGGAACCTCGGGTTCAGAAGCTTTGTAGCAATCACCTTCCCTGGCATTGAGCCGGGGGGGGAGGACCCCCCTGGATGCCCCAGATCCACCCGCTCCTTTGCCCGGTCAGGCCAGGAAGTTCTCGTTTTGCCATGGAGCATCATGAAGGTGGGAAATTCTGCATCCCCTCCACTGGCTGTGCATGGACCAGAGATGGAGTGCAGAGAGCTCAGCTCAGGGTGGAAGTGTCCAAGCCTCCATAAACAGCTGGGGAAGGAGAAACTCCTTCCATCTGCTGAGATCTGTCCCCTGTGTCCCCTGGCAGGTTCCCTGCCTCCCTCTGCACAGGGGCAAAGCAGAGGCAGAAGCACCCTTTTTTTGACAAATGCCTTTATTTGCTACTGGATAGAGGGTCTATTGCACAGCAGCCTGGAGGCTGTGGGGCACACGACCCTGCCCCTGCTCAGTGCTGGACACGGCGGATGGATTGGATCTGGTTGGTGTGGGCTTGGCTGCTGTATTCGTTGTACTTCTTGAACTCGCCGTTCTGTCTGTCCCGCTCCAGCACGTACTGGTAACCCCTGTATCCCGGGTACTGGTATGCCACCCACCTGTGGGCAGACCCCTGGCTCAGAGCCCTGGGCCAAATCCTCCCATCCCAACCCATCCCACCCCTATCCTTGCTCTGGGAGTGGAGGGACAGAAAACATCCCATGGCTAAGATTTCGAAGGGAAGGGGAGCAGGCAGGCACCCCTCCTTTTTGGGGTCCCCCTTCTCCATCCCTGGGGCTATGCAGGAGGGAGGTGCTTGCTTAACCCCTGCTCTTGCCCTTCCACCAGTGAGACTCACGCTCCAGCATTCACTTTGATGGATGCCACCTCCTTGTTGCCCCAGCCCATGGCCTGCAGCGAGGGGTAATCGTCGCTCAGCTCAAACTTGTGCCCCTGGAAGTTCTCAGCCTCGTAGAGGATGACTTTGCTGTCATTGTGGTTCTGCAGAGGGAGAGAGCTGAGGGTCAGCAGGGATGGGGTGGCTCATGCAGGGACAGAGGATGTGGCATCATGTGGGTATACACCAAGGCACCTTGGGAAGCCTGGTACCATGACCAGCTTCAGTGCAAACCATGGAGATGTCCTTCGGCTTGGCACCCCGTCACCAGGACACGCTAGGGCTGCCCCGAGGATGCTGATCTCATATCGCTGTGGTCCCAAAGCACAACCGACAGTGAGGGTGACAGTGGCCACATCCTCTGCACCCACCTGGGCTGCTGCCCTCAGCATCCTCATGCTCTCCAAGGCTGCAGGAGGATTGCAGGGCAAGACAGGCTGCTGAGAGCAATCCCCCAGCTCTGTGGGGCTATGCTGGGTGCTGAGCATCGAGGGGTTAATTGCTGGGACACTGAGATGCGGCACTGTCCCCGTTGCCCAGCCCCCTCACGCATCTATCTGCACTGAGGAGCAGTCCTGCCAGTAAGGAGTGATCTTATCGCATCCCCTTTATTAAAGCCCAAGCATATCTGCCTGGTGATTATTAAAAGTTGGGGGGGGACCCCCCGCTCAGAGGCGCAGACGTGCCGCTATTGCGAGCACCAGCGTCTCTGCAGATGGTGCGATAGAGGCTGCAGCTGCCTGGGCACGGCTCGGCTCAGCATGGCTTGGGTACCCCAGCGAGAGGAGGACAGAGCCCGCACCCCAAAGCAGCAGCATCCCTGTGGTCCTGCCAGATTCTCTCTGCTTACCCCATCCCTGGGTATCTGAGTGGCGGGACAAGACCTGGGGACTCCAGCCTGGGAGGGGGCTCTTCACTGCACGAAGGAGATGGGGGGTGTTTCAGGCTAAATTTTAGCCCTAAAGAGCATCCCAGGACCCTTGCAGGGAGGGGGGAGCCAGTGGGTGCAGCCACCCCTTCACCCCATGGCGCCTCTGTGTACGCCTCACCCCTCCATTCTGTATCCCACCTAAGCCATCC